TAAAAGCATCATTCCTCAAGAACGATACAATAAAATCATTTCTTAAGAATAATACTACATCATTCTATTGAAAGGATGAAAAAAATCGTTCCTTAAGAATGATAAAAGACGTTTAAAAGAACGATACAAAAAATCATTCCAGTATGATAATAAAGATCATTCTAAAGGAATGACACAAAAAAATCATTCCAATAGAATAATACTACATTATTTTAAAGAAATAATACAAAAAATCATTCCAGTAGGATAATAAAGATCGTTTTAAAGGAATGATACAAAATTGTTCCAATAGAATGATAAAAAAAATCATTTTTTAAGAACAATAAAAGGTCATTCTAAAGAAACGATAAAAAAATCATTCCAATAGGACGATAAAGATCATTCTAAAGAAACGATACAAAAAAATCATTCTAATAGAATGATAAATCATCATTCTATCAAAATAATAAAAAAATCATTCCTTAAGAATAATAAAAGGTTATTCTAAGAAATGATAAAAAATTATTCTAATAGAGCGATACTACATCATTTTAAAGGAAGGATAAAAAAAATCATTCCAATAGAACAATAAGATCATTCTAAAGGAACGATACAAAAAAATTATTTCTTAAGAACGATAAAAGGTCATTCTAAAGAAACAATACTTTTAATTGTTCTTTTGAACAAAACTAAAAAATTGTTCAATTTTTAGCTCGAGTTTAGCACTTGACTTAACTTGACTGGACTTGTCTGACTCATAATTTGAGTCAACTCGTTTGGTATTCATATATAATTTAATATACTATTATATAATATGAAATAATTTTTTTTAATATATATAATTAAATATTTTAATAAATTTAACTTATTTATACTATAAAATATGCTATATTTAAAAATTATTGAAATGACTGGTCATTTGTCATTTGTCATTTGAGTCATTTGCCAGTCATAATCATTTGGCAAACACTGATTTAAAGGTATATCCAGATTATTTATTTAAATTATATACTCTATTTGAATAATCATTAAAATAAAAATTTTTTATTTGAATATCTGATTTTTATTAGATATCTTTTAACATAACTAGATATGTTAAACTTGAATATAATCATTATTTCAACTATGAAATCTAAAACTATTAATTTAAAATAGTAATAAAACTTAAAGTTAATCAGATGATATAAGTTTTAGAATAAAAAAAAAAATATATAAGTATTAATATATTTAAGATTATTTATATTAGTAAGTAGCAAGTATTCTTCAATAATTTTATACTATTTAGAAACAATTTCTTGAGTGTTGAAGCATTAAGATTATTGAAATAGTATAAAATTTGGCATAATTTAAGGTAATATGTTCAAAGCATATAATGTTTTTTCTTCTAAGATCAATTTTTATTCTTCTATATTTTAGAATCAGAATTATATCTATTAGGGAAATATTACCATAAAAAGAAGTAATAATATTGCTAGAATTGCTATAAGCTTCTATGGTAATTTCAAGTTTTTTGCAGTTATTAATATAAGGTATTCTTTTTTACTAATTGTTCATATTTAAGAAAAAGTCATTTTAAAGATTTTAAAAAACTTTTTAAATTTTAAGCTATATGATAAAGTAGATTTTAACAGCATCATTAATGTATTTATAGAGAATAATTTAGAAATATTAATTGTTTATTACTTTATTTACTTTATTTAATATATAAATATATAAAAATTCAAATTTTTGATAATTTATATAACAAAAATATATTTAATTTTAATAATCCAATATTTAACATTTTTTTGATTTTATTCAAATAAAGTCTTGAATTTAAAAGTAATAAATGTTAGAACAATTGTATAATTACATAAAAATTATAAAAATATAAGATATTACTATTCTTCAACTTAAAAAAAGGCAGCTTCTTGTTTTTTCCGAGTGAAAACAAATTTTTATATGATTAATCAAGAGTTTTATCCTCTCTAATGGTTTTAGTAATTTTCTTAATTACTTTTCTAATAGCAACTTGGTAACGTTTATAAATTATCTCAATCTGAGTTTGATAACATCTTAAGAATGAATCGATCGCTATTCTTGGATTGTTGGTTTCTTCTTCAAAATAATCCCACTCATAATCATCAAATATCATAATCCCACCTTCTCTCAGCAAATTCCATGATAATACAGCATCAGATAACACATCACAAGAAACATGAGAACCATCGATGTAGATAAAATCAAATTTCATTTTTTTTTCGTAATTCAACTTGACAAGAACATTGAAAGAATAATCTTTAAGAATTTCAATTTGATTTGCCTTTCCCGACTCTTTGATATTTTCACGAAAAGTTGTTTCGTTATCATTGTCTGCAAATATTCTTTCAAAAGTATCAATAGATATCAACTTTGACTCGGGATTTTTAAATAATTCTTCTAAAATCCAAATAGTCGATCTCCCTTCGAAAATGCCGATTTCCAAAACATTTATTTTTTTACTTTTAAGATCTTTTAACGTTTTATCCCACCTTGGAATATGCAGGGTAAACCATTCTGTAGTGAATTTATATCCCATATTTTGGAGTATTGGAAGTTTAAATTTTTTATTGAAGCGTGAATGTGTGTTTTTTAAGGTAGTTATGACCTTGCAAAAAATGACATTTTATTTGCATCAACATCAAACATTTGCTAATATATAACGTAAACGCCGCCTACTTTTTGGCTGAAAATCAATATTTCAAATTTTTTTTCATATGGCCTTCTTATTAACCCGTCATAACGACCAATTAATCCAATTGATTAAGTAATACGCCAATTAAGTCCATAATTTTATTACTGCGCAATGTGCAAAAATTTTTTTATGGTTACACTAGATCTATAGATCTTTGTATCACTCTTTCACGATAAAAAAAAAATTTTTTTTTTTAATCATAAAAACCTCTTCCATCCATCCATCCATCCAACCCATTCTTCCATCCCATCCATCCATCCATCATTTTCATTCATCATTCATCAATTTACATGGGCAAGGTATTAAATAATTTTTTTTTTATCGAGGATTTTACTTCCTTGAATGATGATATTAGATTCTTTCCCCATCTTATCGACTATGAGGAGACTTGAAAGATTTACTTTAGCCAGTACCATATCTGACATAACAAATTTAAAATATATTATTATAAACAAATATATCTTTCTTGACGCTCTAATATTTGATTTTTATTATATTTATAGGTTTTTTTTTGTTATTTAATTTCAAAACTTCGATTTTACGTGCAATAATATTTTTTTTTTTTTGGTGAGTTGATATTTGAGTTTATTTGAGTAATATTAGAGAGATATATGATGATAAAGTACCGTTTGATTCGCAGTTTCCACCGAAAGGGTAATCCCTTATGATGGCAAACAATTCTTCCTTGGATGTCTGATATCTCCTAATAAATCTTTTTGATAATTTTAAGACGAGAATATTCTAATATTAACCGATTTGAATTATACTCCTTAGGTAATCATCGATGGGACCGGTATGAATAATAATAATACACACCGCTGATTCGGAAGAGTATTGCCTTATGATTTCAAACGACAGAGAATCTCTAAAATTATCTTTTGATATAAACAATAAACCAAGGTTAGTTTTTTAATGATTTCATAAAATATTTTACAATTTGGCATGTGAAATTTTCAACTTGTAAAGTTGAGTGAGGAAATGACGAAAACACACTGAATATTATTAATGATAGGAATTGCCGTCAGAACGATTTATGTCTTGATGAGACAAGGTTCTCTGATCTCTTAATCACATGCCTTTATCTAATTTGTTGTAATGCATTTATAAATTTCTTTTCACAGCTACTCAAATTTTTCAGTAATTAACTGATTACTCTTTTGAATTAGTGAAAGATAAAGAAACAATATAGAAAAGTGTGCAAATGATTTTCTTTTTGCTCTGAAGACATTTAATCATTGAGGCTCTAATCGCTTTTATTATATGGATTTCCGGAAAAGTAATCATTATTGGATGACTGGAATGATTCGTTTCTATAATATTTTCAATTGTTTATAACTCGTAGATTAACATCGCCATTGTATGATCGTTATTCATATGATAAATAAATTTGTCGTTAGTAATGAGAATTTAATAAAAAATTTAATGTTAATTGAAGATCAATCTTGTAATATATCTTGCAATACAATATAAAGCTTATAAAAAAAATTTTTTTATAATTATATTTATCGATTCCTTAAGTTTATAAATATTAAAAATAATATCCTATTTTTTTTATAATCTATTATTTAAGACATTATTTCTATAGCCTTTTTTTTTCGACAATTAAATATAAAATCCAATTTTACAATAGAAATATAATTAATTTTCTTAAAATTTTTTTTTAAAAAAAAAAAAAAAAAAAAAAAGAAACTTGAACTTTTTTATATATATGCTATGTGTATGCAAAAAATGGATGCAAATTCATAAACGGTAAAAAGCGATGCAATCAATGAAAGATGAAAAAATAAAACAAAAACAAAACCAAATAATTTTTTTTTTAACTGTGAAATATGTAAGAAATAGAATATAAGAAGTAAATTAATTGTATGTATATAAGAGTAGTAGGGAATGCATTTATATGGTATAATTGAAATTTGCTTTAAGAGAACTTGTATGATTCCAATCGATTCCAACAAAATTAAAATTATAAATGAATATTATTTTTAAGAATACTAGGGGAATATAATAAAAAGAAAGCACTAGAACCCGCTAGCCATATCTAAATTTTTTTTTTCTTAAAACAAAAAAAAATGCCTCAAAAATAAGCAAACTCAAATAGTTGATCATTGCTCTTTCGCAATCATACATACTTTCTCTATACAAATATATACTCCCAAACATCATTCTTTAACCAGCCCCCCACATATATAGGTATAATTATAGAAAACTATACAATTTCTGCTAATTAGAATAATCTATTAACATGTAAAAATAATTTTCACGATTAATAAATATGAGAAGTATCTAATATATATATATATTGCCTTTTTTATATTGATTCATTTGTTTTTGTTTTCTCATTTTGATCTTTATCGACTGAATCTACATGATTTTTAGGTTCTTGAACTTGAATTTGACCTACTTCTCCTGCTGTAATTACAAAAGGAGGCTCATTTCCTCCCCAAAAGATCGTGATTTCACCATCTCCATCATCCGAAAACAACGTACTTCTACCATTAGAACTAGTAGAACTCAAAATACTCTCTCGCTGTAATTGAGGTGGGGATGAGTCGTTACTATACACCTCACTGCTACCAAATAGCCCGAATGATTGTCGGCCTTCGACTGGATCCAAGGAAGATGAATTAAGATGTCGCGGTGTTGATTTCTGGCTTGCAACACGAGCTGATTCCGCTGATGCCCTTTCTATATCTATACGAGGCATTATCTGTTCAGTTTCAGAATCATCTCTTGAAAAATTTGAAGTTGGGCTGCTTGGTACAGATGATAATAATGGTGCACTTAAGAAAGTATTATCAGTCATGGGAGTCTTTGGCGTATTAGGAATGCTATATCCATTTCGCATAGATTGTGCTAGACTCGTATCAATATTTGGTGATTTTACATTATTAAGTCGAACAAGTGCGGGTTTAGCCCGGGTTGCTGTCATTAGAGTAGCTGTGGGGGCTGTTTTTGTCGCTTGTAATATTGTACCAACATCAGAAACTAAATCATCATCATCCGTAATATCGATTAATGGTTCATCATTAAGGTTAAAAGGTATAGGGCTAGCTAAAGGTGAAGTTCCACAACTAACATGTGACGCTCGTAATCTTGGATAAGATGGTCTCGGTTTAGGGGTGGTCGGTGTTGATGGATTGGTTGATGGTATATATGCAATTGGAATAACATTTACTCCTTCTATTGAAACCATCTCTTCGTTATTATTTAATTTAACACCTCGAACATTTCGTGTCCTTCGTCTCCATACAAAATAACCATAACCCATAGCAGTTAAAAGCCCGACCCCAAGGATACCACCAATAACTGCTGGTAATAACGTTTGATTGCCATTTTTGTCTCCATTTTTATTATCATTATCTTGTAATTCGATTGGTGATAATTTGACACATTTTGCCTTTTGACATTCAGAACATGATCGTAAGGTCAAAATGCATTTTTCACCTTCTGGACATGTAGGGCATTTTATTTCAATTTTATTGCACGGTATGCATTTTTCTGTACTATTTTTATTTGGTGATGGTCCTGTTTTTTTATAAATAATTTGAATATTAATAATTTATTTAAATAAATAAATTGCAATTTAATAAAATAGTACTAACCTTGCGCAGTTATAGGTGTTATATTTATGAATATGACTGCTATCCACATTAACCCAATGAACATATATAATTGTATTTTTGATATTGAAAACATCTATAATTATTATTGCAATATGGACCGTTTTTCTTTTTGACGAGAAATGCTAACAACTTAACAAAGGAAAGGGTTATATATATAGTATATATAAAATATGGATAATTGAAAAGAATGTATTGTTAAATATGATTAAATAAATCAAGATTCCTTTGACTAAAATTAATTGCTTGGTTTATAATGTAAACTAGTCGAAAGTGGGAGAATGCTAGTCAAAGGTTATTTTGTTGTTGCGAGGCGAGTTAGAAAAAAAGGACAGAAACAAAAAGAAATCGCACAAGTAAAAGAGTGACTTCTTATGAATCTCATCCAATGTGTGTATGAAACCAAAAAGTTTGGTGGAGAATTTGTGGAGGTTAAGACAACAACATCGACAAGTTATTTCGCAAGCACGAAAAGGTCAAAAGAATCATTACTCTCAAAAAGTTGTTATTTCAAATTGTTTCACTGCCTTATTTGTAAAATTTGTATACTTATAACATGATCTAATTTAGCAAAAAGTTTTTGAGTGATATTAAAATGTGTCGCCCGTCCGTTTCCTTTTTTAGGAGATCAAGTAAATTATGGTTGCACTCGATTAGATATTTGAATTAAATGTCCAATCTCTATCTTTCGCCTATCAAAAAACCGCTATATATAACCTTTGGATCTCCAGATCAAAAAATCGATTATTCATTCCATTTTGGTTAATAGCTCTAAAGTTTAAATTCGAGTTTCTTTTTCATAATTTTTTTTTAATTTTTTTTTTTTTAAGCTATATTACCTTCTAAATGGACTCACAACCCTCTCATATAACCGAAGGTTTCAAGATAATTAATATTTGTTTTATTTGTTGTTATTTATATCACAAATCAAAATATTTAATAAAAATACTACCTTTTTTGCTTTAACTGATAGATGAAGCTGCTTTGTATGATAGACAGATAAGATTATGGGGTTTGGAAGCTCAACAACAGTAAATTTTTATTCGAAACTTTATTTTAATCATAAATGTAATATTTAATATTTATCGTTTTTAATTTTAATTTTTCTTTTATATATATATAATTATGAAAGAATGCGTAATTCATCCATTCTTATAAGTGGAATAAGAGGATTAAGTAATGAAATATGCAAGAACCTCGTATTGGCCGGTGTTGGTTCTATTACGATAATTGACCATAACGTCGTAACAAAAGAAGATTTGGGTGCACAATTCCTAATAACAGAGCAAGACGTAGGAAAGAATGTAAGACAAATATGATCTATTTAGTCTAGGTATATGTGGCGCAGTATTTATGCATTTTTTATCATTTTTATCAAGAGGGCTTTGGCTTCAGCTGATCGTGTTCGACATCTGAATCCTCGCGTAGTAGTGAATACTGATACGAATGAGATACGCGAGAAACCTGAGGAATTTTTCACGAACTATGATTTAATCTGTCTCACGGACAGTGATCTTGACACTATGGTAGGACTAGATCCTTGGGCATTTTTCATCATCAGCAACGTATCTTATTAAACACATTAAAATAGCTTTCACTTAAAATTTTCATAAATAGATTCGCATAGATCGGATTTGCCGGGTTCACAATAAAAAATTCTATGCAGCATGCGCGTATGGTTTCTTTGGGTTTATATTTTGTGATCTAAACAAACACGAATATATACAGTTAAGTAACTAATTATGCTTTATCTGTTCTTGTTCCTTTTTTAATTTGCTTACGTAGTTAAATGAAATTAATTGTTTAGGGTGAGAAAAACACCAATACCACTTAAGGACGAACCTGAAGTAGATCGGATAATGAAATGTGAGGAATATGTGAGTTTAGAAACTGCTTTGTCAAAAAATGATTGGTCTCAAATCCCTGAGAAGAAACTAAAAAAAGTTTCATATGTGCTTTGGGGGGTGTTAAGTAAGTTTTTAATATTTTTGATATACACTTCGATCATTTGTTCTCTCGCTTCCCAATCAATAGTATTATATTATATTATTATATAGTCTTATGGAAATTTCAGCAAGAAGAAAAAAGGTTACCCGCAAGTAACGATGATGATATAAGAAAATTAAAATCACTGAGAGATTCATTATTAACCTCGAACGGAATAAGAGTGTCAACTGTCACTGATGAATTTCTTGAGTAAGTCCTTTTAAAATATTTAATATATACTTTCATCAAATTATGATGTTAATGATCATTGTGATATTCCAGAATGCTCTCCTTGAATGCACAAGCTGAATTATCACCTGTGTGTGCTATCATGGGAGGTTTATTAGCACAAGATATTCTGAATGCGTTATCACGTAGGGAATTACCCATCAATAATCTCTTTATTTACAACGGTCATATAGGCAAGTAATCAAAAGTATAAACTAATCATTTACAGTCAAATTACACTTCTTATTCATTAAATCGATTCTTAATTTTAAATAATTCAGTTACCGGAATGATATATAAAATAGAACAGGGAAAGAAAATATTTGAATGAGAATCAGGTAATTTGTAGTTAAAAAAATATATATGTTCAAATAGAATTCAAATAAGAAACTTAATAAAGATTTTCCTTTATGATAATTATATGCTAGCAAAAGTCTATATATATCCAACGTACGAATGGTTGTTATATATTTGTGTTGAAGAATAAAAAAGCATAATTATCGCCCTCTACATAAATTCTCAACCCACTATAAAAAGAAGAAAATTAATATGGTTTAAATCGCCTCGAAGCTTTAAGTTTAGCGATTTTTTCTTTATCTTCTTCGAACTTTTTGCGAAGATCGATGAGTTCTAGAAAATATAAATAAAGTATATTAAAAAATTCATTATAGTAATCAATAATATATTCAATAATATATATTACAATAACTGTATATTTACTATTTCGTTTAACTTCACGCATTTGAAATCGATAAAAGTCCGTTAATTCCTTATTCTTTGGTTTCAAATTCTTAATTTCATCTGCTTTAGCTGCTGTTACAGTTATTGTTCCATCCGTATTAACATTACGTCTTCCAACTCTTGTTACCGTGATAAATCCATCCTCGTCTGGTTGATTAAGTTTTTCTTCTAAAGTTTTACGTCGTTCTAACTCAGCTTCTTCGAATTTTACCATATATTCATCAACTTCTTCTTGAAGTTTTATTTGAACTGGACGATGTAATCGATAATCTCGCAACCATCCTACTCATATCAAAAAGCATAAATAAGTATCTGTGTATGTTATTATTAAGAATGGAATGGACAATAATATTATTATTACTAGATAATCCTAGTGATGGAATTTCTTCATCTTTAATAGTCCATATTCTCTTTTTTTTTGTCATTTGTAATGCGTTTTTTAATCCTTCAGATTTTTGAAAAATTACATGCGCAGAAGAATCTGGTAACAAAAAATTTCTATTTTCATTAATTACATTAATTAAAAATTCATCATCCTTAACAACTCCGTTAAATATGATTCTATCTATTACTCCACATTCTTGAAATAAATGTTTAATATGTGTTTCTGTTGAATCAATTGGTAAATTTGAAATAAAGAGAGTTTTATCGGGAGGTAAGATATTAATTGAAGAATTATTAGATCGTGACTCGTGACTTTTAAAATAACAATAATGGATTGAAGTAAAAGAAGTGGTGTTGGGTGAAGACATTTCAATTGGAAGAATTTTAAAGCTTGTGTTGGAAAGTTCTTCTAATGGCGGTAATTGGATTTCTTTATCAATGCTACTATTTAAAATTGATTTAGACTCAACATTAATTTGTTGAGGATCAGTTGATGATTGCTGTTCATAATTGTTTGATTCTTTGTTAATAGTTTGAGACTGTTTCTTCTTTTTTCGCTTCGAACCCATTTTGATTTAAGATTATCAAAAAAAATTTTCAACCTTATAAAAAAATTGAGATCATCAGAAAAGTTTCATTGGCCGAAATTAACCATGTGATGAATATCGAAAATCAGAAAACATTCTTATATGTCACCTGTAAAAATTTTACAAATAAATGTGTGAAAAAATCACGTGGAGAAACAAAAAGATCTTTTTTTTTTTTTTTTTTGTCGAGCAACTTTTTACAATTGTAATTTGTACTTTTTGAAAATGGCATTTAGTAAGTTATTTTACCGCAACAAGTAATCAACAAATAAAAATTTTACGTTTAATAGATTATTACCTACCAATCATAAATCATAGGAACAAACAGTGGAGGAGGAGGACGCGGTGGCCGCGGTGCAAGTCGTGGCGGACGTCGTGGTGGTGGTGGTGGTGGACGTGGAGGTATATGAAAAAATTTTTTTTTTAATATATATACGAATTCGATCATATATTGTTAATAATTTTATGGAATGTTTATATTTGTAATAAATAGGTTTTACAGGTAATTCAGTCGGCCGCGGTAAATATATTTATTATTAAATAGTTCCTAAAGAGTTAATTAACTAAATTAGTATTGATTTATCTAATTAGGTATAGGAAAGCGTGGTGGTAGTGGTGGTGGTGGTAGTGGTGGTTTCCGTGGAGCCGGTGGTGGAAGAGGTGCTCGTGGAGGAAGTCGCGGTGGAAGTGGAAGAGGTGGTGGTAAACCAAGTTTTAGAGGCGGAGCTAAGGGTGGTTCTAAAGTCATAATTGAACCACACAGACATCCAGGTATTTATTAAATTATTATTATTATTTTATTATTATTATTATTGTTTTCAAATATAATTACTATTAATGTAACTGTATTTTAGGTGTCTTTATTGCTCGTGGTAAAGAAGATCTTCTTGTCACAAAAAATCTTGTAAGCGGTGAATCTGTTTATGGAGAAAAGAGGATTACGGTAGAAGGATCTGATAGTGTTAAAATCGAATACCGTGTGTGGAATCCATTCCGTTCAAAGTTGGCTGCAGGTATACTTGGTGGTATTGATCATATTTACATTGCACCCGGTAAAAAAGTGTTATACCTTGGTGCCGCTTCGGGAACTACGGTATCACACGTAGCAGATATAGTTGGCCCTGTATGTTTGAATTTTTCATTTTATTATCCCTTTCCTTCCTTTTCCCAATAACTATTTTATTAATAACTAAATAATTCCATTGAATAGGAGGGTGTAGTATATGCCGTTGAATTTTCTCATCGATCGGGACGTGATCTCATAAATGTGGCGAAGAAACGCACAAACGTCATACCTATCATCGAAGATGCTCGACATCCGCATAAATACAGAATGTTAGTTAATATGGTGGATGTTATTTTTGCTGATGTTGCACAACCTGATCAAGCACGTATTATAGCACTGAATGCGCATCATTTCTTAAAGAATAATTCACATATTGTTATATCTATCAAAGCAAATTGTATTGATTCTACAGTAGAAGCTTCTACTGTTTTTGCAAGGGAAGTTAAGAAATTGCAAGAAGAACACATAAAACCTTTGGAACAACTTACTCTTGAACCATATGAACGTGATCATGCTCTTGTTGTTGGAAGGTATATACGATCAAAGTAGAGATATTTTTTTAAAATAATAAAAAAAGTTATATATTATTAATAATAAAATTCAATAAAATAATACCATGAATTGAACTTATTCATTAAAATGAAGGTTCTATATCTAAACCGATGACAGCAAATTAAGAGAAATTTATATTTTGATTATTACGGGTTAATATATTTAGATTTATGTTTTATTTAAAAAATCTTAATAATTTAAAAAGACATGGTCGCTAAGCTATACAAAGATTAAATATCGTATAACTAATAATAAATTATGGAGCTCTAGTACAGAAAGTTTCCAACCAATGATTGGAACTGATATTGATCGAACATAATCTTTTTATACGGCTTTATCCTTCAAGATGCTTTCAATCATAATCGTGTTGAACATGTTTATAAAATAACGCGGAAAAGTTAATTAACCGAATTGACCAATCAAATCAAAGAAATTTTTGGATGATTGAATTTTGACGATAGTTACGAAAGTTAAATTTGAATATGTAAATTTAAAAACCGCTTATTAATTCCTTGCTCTCCTTGTTCTCCTTATTTTCAAATAGTTGGTTTAATAAAAAATCTTGATACTTTTTATATTTTTTGAAGTACAAAAAAGAAGGGAACCATTGGGCAATTTTTACATAAAATTCAATTGAAAATGATATTAAACCAAGCTTACATCCTTCTGTAAAATGCAATTATTGTTCTAAAGTTTTTTAACAGGGTTGTTCCTTTAAGAATGCAACTTAAGGAAGCAATACAGATGACGACTTCGATTTATTAAATAGTATTTTGGATTTGAATCAAATGTAATACAGATTTGACATTCTTTTTATATAAAACGTATCACCAAATCTTAATTAACCCATTCAATTCTTATTTTTGAAATGTATAACGTTCTCACCAATCTAAGGAGAAACAAATTAAAAAATTACAATTGTAAAAATCCTCTATTTTATCTAGAGATTGGAATTGGATTTGGGGGTCCCGGTTCCAGATTTGACAACCCGGATACACGATTGCCTTAATAAAAAAAAGCAAGTTTCTGATGCTCGATGATTTTAAGAAATTCAAATTAGTTAAATCAATTGAATTGTTTATATAAATATTGAAAATTTAAATTATGGAAGACATTCATGGGTAAATATTCTACAGACATTCCAGCTGAATTTTTTTATTTAATTTTCAATTCGTTACTAAATTCACTAAATATTATCTTTCAACTATCGATCATACAAAATGTCACCTGATCTGCATTTAATAATTACGATATGATAATTAACAGTATATGTAAATGAAACAACAATCTTTAATAATATATCATCAAAAGTTTTCTTAAACTCTCCTTTTGTTTACTTTAAAAGATTCTTTTGCAAAAAATTCTTTTATATATAGTTTTTATAAATGCCTTTTGTAAGTAATAAAATTTAACTTTATGTTAGAGATGTTTAATAACCTTTTGAATTTAAGACTTTTTTTTTTATATATCAAATTCTTTTCTAAAGTTATTTTTACATTTAAAATTGATTTATATAAAAATAAAATGTTTTTATTACAATTTAATAAAAATTATAATATATTGATAAAAAGATTTAAAACGAATAAAAAGTTAATTTGTAAAATTCTTTATTTAATATTTATTATTAATGTAAAAATTAATAAATAACAAAAAAAAAATCTTTTTATAATATAAAATTTTTATGTGACTTTACATTCTTGCATATTTCCATAATATTACTCATTTACCATCTCAGTTTTCTGAAACTTTTGCCATTTTCTTGAATATGTAATTGAATCAGTAGAATTAACTTTATTTTTTTCTCTTGCTTTTTCTTTTGTTGAGCAATAGTATCAGTTTTTATATTGTGTTTTTGCCATCCAATTGTAATTCTAGTTTTTAATTTTTCAATATCTTGTTATAAATGTCATGCAATCTTTCTTTTCCAATATAATAGCTATACATGAAGTCAAAATGGATCATTTCGGATATCTGAAATGGTTGAAATGGTCGAAATCATTTTAACTATTAAAGGCTAAAGTTGTGAAATAGTCAAAATAATGTCATATCACATGATTTTCATATTGAGAAAAACAATAAACAAAAAATGTACAATCTCAGTCAATATCGCACTGATTTGTATGAAACAACTACCATTTGATTCCTTGCGACTTGACAGACCTAATGAGCTAACATTCATTGATTTTTGGATCATACAATCACGAGATAATCGCAATTGTATTATCAGCCAAAATTATGAATCAATAAATTCTACTTTAAATAAAGGAGTCTGGATTTCAAAATACGATCACAAATATCTCGAGATGAAATGATTCAATATCAATGAATATTAGCTCATTAGATTCGTCTAGTCGCGAGGGATCGAATAGTAGTTGTTTCATACGAACCGATGTGATATTGAACGAGATTGTACATCTTTTGTTTTATTTTTTTTCTATATATAAAAAATCATGTGATATGACGAAATTTCGACCATTTCGACTTTGGATTTTCATTTTGACTTCATGTATAATCATAGTATTCAAAAAGTCTTTTAAACCCCTGTTCATTATTTTGCGAAATTTCTTTAAATAAATTATGATCAGATGAATTTTGATAAATAAAAGCTGCATATAATTCATTTACTAATTTTCACATTGCTTCTTTTCTTGATTTCATATTATGATCATTTTGTACGAGAAGTGTATCACTAACATATTCACTTAACAATAAGTTAATTCTTTCTCATTCAAATTGAACAGAAAAAATTCTTGATTTTAAATCTTCTTGATTTCCCAAAACCCTTCCAATATTTTGTTTAATATATTTTATTCCAAAGTTTTGAGTACTTCATCAAATGTGAAAAAATACCCAAGATAAGTCAAATTAACTGAACATACATGATCCAAAAGCATATTTAACTTACCATCATTTTTAATATAAGAAAAAAAGTGAATTGTAGATTAAGTATAATTGCTTCTTCCAATGATTGGAAAAAGTAGGACAAATGCTACAAAATTCTCTATTTTATATCATGGTTACCAAACCTAATTCCTCCAACCCAAAATCCCATTTAGTAAAAATAAAGATACCAAATTTTTAAAACATTATTTTACCTATAAAAGATATCTTAAATTATTATATTTTTATTTTGTATAAAGTAATAGCAATTCTAACTGCCATTCAAATTAATTTTAATACACGACAAGTAGCTGAATAGTTGACTACCTTTTCTAATTTATCAAAATAAGAAACTGCTGCAAGTTTAAAAATCTAATATCCAGAAAAAATTGCAATTAAAGTTGTATACATACTATACATATTTTTATTAGTATACTATACTTCAAATAAGTGTCATATTTCTGAATGAGTTTTATGTAAAGAA